GCCTTCCACCGTGCACACGGCACAGCGCGCGCGGGAAACGGCTCGGGGCCGCTCCGCGTTGCGCCGTTTCCCTCCTTCCCCGCTTCCTGAACGCGCCGGCGCCGCCGGGCAGCGACACGAAACCCGGAGCCGTCCCTCCGAGCGTGACGTTCTGCAAAACACGCCTGCGTTCCGCCCTCCCCGGCACCGCGGAGGGGGAAACGCGGCGCGTTCCGCGATCGCCTCCTCTGCGCGCACGAGCAGGGAGCGTTTTCCTTTTTTTTTTTTTTTTTTTTTTTTTTTAAATTTTCCTTTTCTCCCTCTTTTCCCCACGCAGCGCAGTTTTAGCGCGCTGCGCAAACGCCCCGCGTGGCTGCCGCTGCTTCCCAGGGCCGCGTGTCGGCTTCGCCGTTCCCATCGTCGCAGCCGTTTTCCCGACGGGAAGCGCTGCGGGGCAGGGACGGGAGGAACGGGCGGCGCCCGGGACCTGCGGCGCCRGTCACCGTCCCGTGCGCTAAAGGACAAAATAGTGGGGATGAGTAATTCCAAAAAACAAAATCCAGATTCCGGCCTGGCGGTGACCGCTCGGATCTGATTGAGATGGAGACTGAGGGAATCTCCAGGGTCCTTGCCCAAAGTGACCCGTTGTTTGCGCGGCCGCACGGGAAGCTGCGTGATTCCCCCCGCTGCATTTAATTTTAATTCAGCGTTTTTCCCCAACCTGGGGAACTCTGCCAGCAGCTCCTGCGATCCCTGGCAGCACCGAGGTGCAAAGGTGCTCGCTGCTGAACAAGAAGGATTTGCTCTCATCCACAGCACCGCTTAAAAACACGTACCTTTAGGGACGCCTATGGTCCCCGAAAGCCGACGGTCTGATGCTCTTTTCCAGTTAAACTCGTGCCTTTTCTGGATGGGGTCTTAATTGCTTTAGTTGGAAAGCAATTCCATATAACCATGTTATAATAATAAAGCTAACCATAGATTTTTTTTTTTAATAAAAAATACATACGTCATGAGTACTGGGAGAAAGGAGATAACAGACAAAAGGACATTTGTTAGCAGAGACCTCGGATGCTGTTGTGCTATTTTTCAGTATTAATGAATAAACAAACACAAATAGGCTGCATGTTGTTAGGTGCAAAGCAGCTGTCAGAAGCAAGCCGGGGCAGCTGTTGCTGCCTCAGGATTTCACTGCAAATTGCTTCTCTCAGCTCCAGTCATTTCAAAATTGGCTTTATTGGCTAAACACATATTTAAAGGATTTTGAAAATTTACTAGGAGTTTGTTCAGGGGRAAAAAAAAAAAAAAAAGTGTTGATTAACTTTCAATTCTAAGTAAGATTTGCCAGGGACTAAAATTCAGGGGCAAGATATCAATGGATCAGTTTTGCAGTGCTCACCTGCAGCAGTTGTCTGTATGCACAACAGCAGGTTAGTTTTTCAAAGGTACAAAAGCTCGCGGGGTTGGATTGTTTAGAGCAAACAGCACAATAAAGAAATGTGATCTTTCTCGACCTTATGTTTTGGGCCAAACGTCAGGTGGCTGCAAATATACAGCAACAGCAAAGCCTGAAGATAACAAAAACAGGTCCTCATGCTGCTGCCAGAGAAAAGTACTCAGTGGAGCATCCAGGTTCTGTGGATCAGCAAGGCAGGTTCCCTGAACTCATTCACTCCTATGAACAAGGCAGCCCATTTATCATTCGTTGTAAATTAGAAAGCCCTGATGGTTTAATAGACACTGGTAACCTTGAATATTTCTTAATCAATATTTAGAATTCTTTAATGCAAACATAATTCCCTTAAATTCTTAAGGGCTGCTCAAATTCTTTAGTGAAACAGATTAATTTCTATTATTGTTCAAAAATCTTTAGTGCAGCTTCCCACAAGTGCYCCTCATTTCTTCACAACTCTATAACTTTCATGCCTATTAAAGCCAATAAGGCTCTTCTATGAGGATTTATATTAAGGCGATTTGAAGATGCCATTAAGAAGATCAGCCTCTCTGCCTGCCAGGCTCTTTCCTGTCAAGGGAGTTATCCCCTCTTATCCTGTAATTTGAGGAAATTCTGAAAACAGAGACCAAATAATCGCAAACCTAAAGGATACAGCCCTCCTGGACCGGGTGCCCAGTCTTTCCCAGCCACACAGGAATAAATCTGAGATTTTCCAGTGGCAGTTTCAGAGTAAGCTCTGGGTAAGAGGAAGTCGTGATCAGCTTTGGATGGTGTTGGGTAGACCTCGGCTCAGGAATGGCTCACGTGGGAGGCAGCAGGACCCCATCCCTTGGGACACCTGGCAGGAGGGCCTTCCTGCAGGGCTAAATGCCCCACACCTGCACCAGAAGCAGCTCCACGCGCCAGGCACGGGCAACCTGCCGCACTGCGTGTCCAGGCTGAAGTTGTCACCCACCAGAGGCCCCTCGCTGGGGATCCTGGACGTCAGCGTCACCTCTTTCCAACTTCAGGACTGGGAGACGGGACAAAGGTCAATAAGGCCCAATTTAAGTGGGGCACGAGCTGCAGAATAAGATGATCCTAACACAGCGATGGCCCTAGGAAAGGCTGAAGGCTCAAATCTCAGTGGTAAGCTGCCAATGATGCATGTGGTACTKACAAGTCAGCTGGTGTGGAAGAGGAGCTGCACGCAGCCTTAGCTGAGCGGGGATGGAGGCAGGTGGGAGCAGATGGACTCTGGAGGAAATTGGCAGTACCAGGAATCTCCACATCTCCAGCTTTGATCAGGCAGCCAAGGGAAAGAAAAGTGGGAATCTGCCACTGAGATCTGGAGGGAGGAGCTGGAGACAGTAATCCTCACAGGGCAAGAGGGAATGGAGTTGGCTAACAAAGCCACCACATTACATAGATAACTTGGGGTAGCTTAATTGGATTGAGTCTGCTAATTGGGCTTTGCCTAATTTGCCTGATTTGCAATAAATCAGGCAAATTTGACATTCAGCTTCCTCAAAAAAAAAAAAAGAAAAAAAAAAAAGCAGCAGCAAATTGGGGGCAGACAAAGGAAAAGGGCACATAGGGAAAAATCAGCACCTGAGGAGCAGTTACTGAGGAGGTTGTGGGATCCATCTTCCCTGTTGTGAGAGCTAAATGAGGGTAAGGAAAGGTGAAAGATTTTCTGGAGGAGAATYGCTCACAAAACCACGCAGAGAGCAAAGAGAAGCAGCCAGGGGAGCCTCGGGTCGATTTAGAGCAGATGCTGATCACAGAGAACGCCGAAGGCGACCTGGGTGCCGTGGAGGATGTTCATAGTCAGGAATGAGCTCTGCAGGAGGGAACGACAGAGCCTTGTACASACCCAACGGGCACACATCCGACCTTAGTGACTCCCTGCCTGCTCCTATTGCAGGTTGTGGCACACCAAGGAGCCAAGGGAGGCCAGCGGTGCCTCCAGCGCCCAGGCAGGGCCGGTGGGCAGCACGAGGCCTGCAACCTCCAGCCACAGGCTGGTCTGAGAGCTGCCGGGCTCCGCAGGCAAGTTCCTCTGCCTTTACCGACCTCACAGCGTAGGGATGACCTGGGAAGCTACCACCAGCACAGGAGTGATGCAACAGAATAAGGTCCTGCAAAGCCGGAGGGCATAGTCTGTAACTTCATGAAGATGCACAAAGGCTCCCAAAAGGAAGAAGGCTTATAGTTCATGAAGTAGGAGCGTGTAGAACATCCAGACCCGAATAAATGTCTTTAGAGAGTGGATGGGGCCTCTCTCTTCCACCACTGGCCTGGATTGGAGTGATTGGCTCACCTGGGAGGTGTTAACGCTGATGTGGTACTAAATATACTCCAGCTGGGAGTAAGCCAGCCCAAACGTGTAGAGCCAGCTTAGCAGGAGGACCCCAGAATTTGTAGGGTTTGGGGCATGCCTGGCCTAGACTTGTGGGGGRTGATTGGGAAATGTAGAAGGCCGCTGACTGTGTAGGGTTTTCCCTTGCACAGCGGGGCTCCCCAAGGGAGCTCYTACCCCTTTCCAGGGGCTCCAGGGAGAACGGAACGAGAGCAGGGCCTCTGCAGGGCCCTGGGCAGGCATTGCCCTTCGGTCATGGCGCTAAACAAAATCGTTGCTATTTACAGAGGRGTGAGCTGGCTGCTCAGGAGCACTTCAAAACCTGCCCTTTCTAAAASCAGCTAGCGGTGTGGTTTCCGAGATGCTATTCTGGACACGCTGCCAAAACAAATCTCTATCCATAGCTGAGCTGAACTGACTGACTGTTCTTGTCAGGACAGCTACTCCTAGTAGTGGCTAAACTAGTTCTAACTTMAGGCTTCAAAAGCCAAAGCCATATTTACTGGGTGGTTTTCATTATATGAAGGATGGAGGTTGGACTGTGGGATAGCCACGGAGGTTGCACTACTGGGTACCTACAGAAGTGACCTCTTGAGTTGGTCCCTCTTTGCCCTGGAAGCCACAATTGAGTWTGTACATGAAGATCTGAATTGCTCCAAAACAGAGGTCCAACGCTTCCATTGGGACACACAAAACAGGTGGGAACAGAGACTCGATCCCAACCCTTACACACATGGATGCTTTGGTGTCCAGCTAGCAGAGAGCCTGCGCGCTGCAAAGGCCAGAGGGACAACTTCACAGGGACTGGCTCCAAAGCGGTTCCCTGACATAGTTCACTTTCCTTGATAAGMAGATTGGAGCAAAGACTGTCACCTGTCTGTGTGAAATACGTACAAGCTCTTCTTCCTTGAATACATACAATCTTCTTCCTTGCCATAACATTGACTGCAGCCGGCCTCGGCATCTTAGTTACGCTCCTCAGAGGAAATTAGGCCAAGGCACTGAAGTGCTATTAGCAGTGTTGAAGCTCAGCTCASGTGGATGGGGCAGGATGACAGTTCCTTTAGAGCTCAAAACCATCCATCYATCTCGAGGAGCATGGACGTTCCCTTTCCTCCTGGTTCTCTGTGTTGGTGCTGGACACCTCTGTTACCTGTATTCCGGGGTCAGTCATTAACCTACTGCAGGAAAACTGTTCCTCTGCAGGAGAGGAGTGAACCCACCCCACAGTAACATTGCTGCTGGATAATCAGAAAAAAATCAGGAATCTAGCCAAGAACATAGTATGTATTCCACAAAATGATCTTACAACAAAATACCTTACGAAGCATTCCTCAAGTGAATTACACATCTCATCCATGTAACTGTCAGGAGGGCTACAGAAATGTGCACAGCTTCTAAAGCAAAAACCTCTGCTCCRCATCCAGCAAGAAAACCTGATCCCTTATCAGGAAGCCGCCCCTGGTGCAGAGGCTTCCCCTTGCTTTAAGGTTGGGAGGTGTCTCCAACCAGCGTTGCCACATGGCCAAAGCCGGTAGGGACTAGCCTTGGAAGAAGGAATAGAGCAGTACTCGTGCACCCTGGTGCAGAGCTCTGCTGCACAGCAAGCTAAGCACATTCCAGCTATTCTCCGCTCGGGACCTGGAGACTGCTTTGACTTGCTGAAAAACACCTGATCTAGATTGTATCAGATATTCAACTATAGCTTAGTAAGAACAGCGTAAAGCTCGCCAGCTCTTACATCCCACATAATTTACTGGGGCAGAATGCTTAGGATGTGACGGAAGGTGAATGTGATAGAGCAAAACTAACTGATAACTATTACCTGGCATTGCTTCTGGGTTGCATAACGTCCCTGCGAGTGGCCTGCTCAGCACAGACTCCTGTAGCTGGCTGTAGTGCCAGGGCCCAGTGCTGGACAGGGCAGGACTCAGGCCAAAAAGCAGCGTTTGGATCAGCTTCCAACAGTAAAACAAGACAGAAAGTGAAATTCTTTGTTTTGCTATGGGGTTTGATAATATTTTTGGCTCTGGTCTGCTTGTAAGATGGTAAACCATTTTACTCAGTAGGATGTTTGTGGCTGTGGATTACTTTAGGGCAAGTAACTTAACCTGAGGTCATGCAATGTGATGAATTCTTAGACCGTTCAGAGCAGATCATCCTAAACATACCTATTCTCACCTTTAACTTTTCCAAACTCCTTATGAGTGATCTGTATGCAACTATACGGAGTATATAGGTTCATATTTACCTACTGCACAAATCCTGCAGACCATCCAAAAGAGCAGAAATGGCCTCTTAAATAAGTATTTTATCAGTACTGCAGAGGCTGATGCTGCTGGGCTGGAGACTCCAGTGCTGTGCGTGGGTAAATGTTCGAAGTCAATGACATGAAGCTGAATCAAGCTGGGAGGCCCATAGCAGAAGCCCAAAACAAAGAGCTCGCAACTTAGGAGCTGCCATTCTCTCATCTCCCACGTGGTAGCTGGTACCTCAAAGCAGCACCTTCCTCCCCAGCAATGTACGTGACCACCATTTAAAGGAAAGAAACTGTACTTTTAATACTAAGTATTTGGGCACGGGCCTTTCGGCTAAGAACAATTCTGGACTGTGCTACTGATTGTCCTTGTGACAGATAGCGTCATGCTGTGGAGAGCAGGAGGAAAACAACAGGATAAGAGGAAAACGGGAGTTCCTGGCTCGAGAACCCCTTCTTCCTACGCCCCCAAGGCAGTCRGCTCCGTTGTGAAACGATGCCAGCTCTGCTGCAGGCTCTGATGTCAAGAGAGGGGTGTGGAGCGCTCTGACTTTGGGGGCAGACTAATCTTCAGAGCCAAGACCTCACATCTGCTCACTGGGGGCTGAGCTGGTTGCTTTCTCGGCTGCAGTGGCACCCCCAGATTCCCACAAACTCCTTCTCCGCCTTCGGCTTCCTCCCTGGCCCCGCTGAGGTCTGGGCTCCGGCGCCTCTCCCGCCCGCGGGCCTCCCTCGCTCCTTGAGGCCTTTGCCGGCGGGGCCTTCGGCAGCTCCAGCGCTTGCTGGTTCCCTGTGCCATGGCCAGCRACGCGCCTGGTCCAAGAGCTCCTTCCCCGGCTCTTCTGAGCTGCCGGGCCTCCGGGAACCTGCCGGATCAAGTCATCTTGTCTCTGGTACTGAAACTGATCCCGCGGGGGAGGATTCCCTGTTGGGAAGCTGCAGCTGGCATGCTCTCCTGTCAGCGGTGCRCTGCTGCTGTCACCATCTTCTGACCTTCCTTTCCGGAGCCCAGAGCGGGCAGGAGTCCTCTCCCTAGATTTCCTACAGCTCTTGTGCTGCCTCTGCAYGGCTTTAAACCCACAAGCCCAGCATTTTGCTTCTGAGCCTCTGGTCTGGAGGGATCTCTCCGGGATTTATTGAGCATCTGGCATTCTATCAGAGCTGGGAAGATGTTCTACTGTAGCCACCGGGTGGGGACCTGTTTCTCCAGGACCTGGTGCCGGGCAGCTGCCATGATACTCGTGAAGAAAAGCTGGGGCCTTCCAGTACCACTGGATCTCCTACACCCATTGGCAACACTGGGTTGTCCCTCAAGGCTCCCACATCTCCGGTGTTCCCTTCTGGGGGTGCTGAAGACAACCCCCCCCACCCGAATACGAGGTGGCAGGGCCATTTACTGGGTGGGAACGGTTTTGTTTCAGCTGGACGGAACAGCTCAGCGGCAGCGCTAGCCGGCAGCTCCTCCGCAGAGCCGCGTGCTGGGGCAGCCTGGAGGCCCCAGCCCCACGGCCATGGGGCAGGTGGGGCCCGCGCTCGGTGGCTGCCTTGACCGGACTCTGCTCTCTCTCCCACAGCCCTCACCCGCTGCCCCTCGCCGGAGACACGYGCCAGCTCCTGCTGACGGGAGCTGAAACGGGCCGCACTGCGTCAGGCAGCGCTGGAGGAGCAACAGGAGCAGCAGGAGGACGTGAATTCCTTGTGCTTTGGTGATTCCTTCCGTTTTAACAGACTCCTTCACCTGCTGCTTCTTTGCAGACCAGAGGAGCCTTTCTGCTCCCATCTCTTACTTTCCATTTTGACCCTGCACTATCTTTCTATGGGTTTCATTTTGCATCCTCAAGGATTATTTGGTCACCCCRCTTCTTTCACTGCCCTTCCTTGGTGCAGCAGCTCTGCTTGGATCCCTTCGTCCTGAGGGATAGCTGTGGGGATCAGGCAAGGTGGCACCATGCGCAAAAGCAAGATAGTTTAACGCAAGCAGGCTCTTTGGGAGGTGTGCAAGGGCCAGCACTTATTTCTGCTCAGAGTTGAGTTCTGGTAAAGAGCAGAAAGGTTGATTTATTTAGGTTAGTTAYAGATATTTAAAGATAACTTTGAGCATAAGTCAGATCTGAGTTTGGCGCTATTCATGCTGAGCAGATGCTGAAAACTGCAAATGTAAGAACCCAAGAAGAGTAAGGCAACATAGTTAATGTGCAGCTTTGTTTTCGTGAGCCATGCTTACCTGCACAGATTTACATAAGAGCAAAACAACCTCTATCCATTTCCCCATGATTTCCACTTCAGGAATGGGGGACTGTTCAATTCAGCAAGGCTAAAGTATACATTTGGCTTTAAATAGTCATGTAATTCCACAGAAATCTTCATTTAGTTATCTTAGGCTCACTTTTAAAGGYTTTCCTGACTCCAGTTAGGGTACTCGGAAGCTGGAGTGAGTCCTTTCATGCCAGACTTACATTGCCACAACTTGAGAAGAATTAAATCAGGCCTATTSTGTAACCTCCTTATCAGGTGTATGGAGCAACCGAGAAGCCTCACTTGCTTGTTTTGCCCCAAGGGTTCATTTTGTGCTTATACAAACCGTGCTTGGTTTCTGATATAAAAGTGAAGACACAGAAGCTGCGTGTCCTTATTTTGGGCTCAGCCTTGCTATCAGCTTCACATTTTGTCCCTTC